TCTCTTCTGCATGTCCCTGCACCTGCGTAAAGGTAGAGCTAAATCAGTGAGATTGCTGTCTACCTGATGATTATCATCCAACAGCGCGCAGAAACGCAATCAAGGTTCCCTTTTTTCCCCCCTTGTTGTATCTATTGGAAGGCTGGTTGGGAATTTGCTTCCTCCTGCCGCTAGGAGCAAGTGTTGGTTTCCAGCCTAAATTAATCTAGGGCCATTTGTATCCATTTGTGCCAATCTTACTTCTTAACTTAAGGTTCTTCAGGTTTCTTGGTACCCGCTCCGACGTATTTGTCAAAGGCTGATCCCTGCTGGCCTGTTTTCCCAGCCCCAGCAGGCTGTATTTCCTTTGCCTTATCATAAAACTGAATTGATGAAATCTAATAATAGGAGAGCACAGCTCTTCTCACACTTGTTTCCCTTCAAATTAACCTTTCTTCTGCAATCTGGTCATTTTTGTTTGCGGCATTCCAGAAAGTCTCAGGCTCGATGCCAGTAATACCTCATTTGATACACCCTAAGACTACAACTATCTGCTTCGTGTTCAACGCCTACTTATTTCTTAACACTCAATATACCAAGGTCCTTTTATCCTTCTCCACTATGAAACCTCAAGCTTTTGGGAGAAATTCCTGTTATCCTTGAGTGCATGACCGTGTACTTTGTCCTATTACCCCACTCCCAGTTTTGTTGGTGCAGTTCTAAAGATCATTCGGTTCTTTGTGGGATTTTTCTGATCTTTCTCCTTGGATGGTGCATGCTATTCCGAGTCATCAGCAAACTTCGCTTCTCTCAGTGACCTGAACACCAGCGTAAGCGTGGGATTTGTCTGAAATGTGATTCTTGATAAACTGGAGCAGTAATTTCCTGCTAGGTCAGTGATCTCTATCATGTAACTGCTGTCATTGCCCTTTTAGCCTGTTGATTTATGAAGCGTACACATCTTTCCACCCCCCTCTTTTTCTTTTGTTCACCCCTCCCTCTTTTTTTTTTTTCAACTCTGTTGCATCATAACTGGTGTGCAGTTTATGAGCATATTTATCAATCAGTGCATTCAGATCAAATGTACATAAGCCTGAAAATAGTCCTTGTAAACAATTAATTGCATGTGTATTCAAGGTACAACTTTCTTCTGTGTGTTTCTTTGTAGAAAAAGATGTAGTGCCTTGATTTTTCAGGAATTTTTACATGCTGCCCTTTGATTCAGAGGTACAGAGAAACAGATACTGTTTATTACTGATGGAGAAGGATGCTCTTGGCTTCGCTTTCAGAACCTGAGAGAAGGCTCCAGTTCTCCATATCCATTGTCCTGGATGGTCCCGTTGTCCTGCAGGGGAAGAAGCACCTTCCAGTGCTGTTCTGCACTCAGCCACTGTGGTTGCCATCAGTGCAGGGGGAAGGTTCCTGGCCAGTGTGACAGAGGAGCAGTCTCTTGCTGCGCGCTTTAAATGCGACAGCAAACAAGCCCCAAGCTTACTGAAATGGGTTTAGTGGTGTATAATGGGTGATAACCTGGGAATGTTAGTATGTGAAAAGTATTTGCTCCAGTAGGATCCATTTGGGGAAATTTTAATATGTTTTTCCTGCTTATCTCTCCTTGTATTCTAGTCCTTTCCGTGTGGTGGTGTTCATCTTGCTGTTTTCCAGAGGCCCACCTGAGGCTTTCTTGGGTGTCACCTGTTGTGTGCCTAATCAGATGGAAGAGGAAATAGGCAAAGAAGGATGTGTTCTCTGATCTTTTAAAGAGTGGAGCTGTGACGCTGAGGTGGGGAAGAATGCCTGTGAGGCCAGAGGTGAAAGGAGAGAGGGCAGAAGGCTGTGCAGCAGCAGTGCAGAGATCCTGGGACACTGGACACAGGTGGAACAAGATCTGTGGCCACACATCTCCTGGGCCGTTGCTGTGAATGTACCCAGCTGTATCACACCAGTGCTGTGTGCCTCTCACAGTTCAGCTGCTAGCCTTGCACATTGCTCTGTCCCATCCCCTTAATCCTGGTGGAAATTACATGACAGTTGATGTGGTTTTTTTACCACAAATGCTCTGATCTGTGAGTCACCCGAGAGCGTTCTACACAGCTTTAAAATAATTGTTCTTTACACGTACTCAGTGCAAGTTTATTTTTCAAAAACTTGTACTTTCTTCTTCAAAATAAGCATACGTCCCCACAGGATGTTTTACCAAATCACGGCAGTGCAGTCGCTCACAGCAGCGTGCTGTGTTACGGGAGTTGCGCCGAAGGTCGTCTTCAGCCATCTGGTGCCTCCCTGCGGCTCCTGGGCACGGCTCTTCAAAATCACCAGCCAGCTTTCCGTTCCTTCCACGGGACTGATGCTATTCCTGCTCTCCCTTTGTAAAAATTCAGGTGCAGCAATAAAGCTAACAGTGCCGAACTCATCGAGCTCCTGGGTCTCTTCCTTGTACACACCTGGCAGTTGCTCTGCACGTGCGCTACGTACAGCTTTACTTGCTGCTGTCCAGGAGCCTGCTGCGTGGTTTCCCGAGCAAGGCAGGGAAAGGATACATCCCAAGATCACGGTTAGCATGACAGCTAAACCGACGGGAATGTGCTGGTATAGGAAAAATGTTGCTGCATGCAGCTTTTTTAAAAGACCTCTGTTTGAAAAATTGCAAGCGGCGTGTTGGAGCGGGTTTGTTGCTGCACAAGTGAGCAGGATGGCGTCAGGGGTTCGCAAATACCACAGAATCGGGTCTCTTGTTTCTAAAACGGGTGCACAATCCTATTCTCTCGACAGCGTTTGTGTTTCTGATAATGAGTAGAAAACGCAGCTATGTAAAATTGTGTATTACGGTAATGGCCATAGTACGGAGTAGAAGGATTTAGTGGGAACTTGACACTGTCCTTGTGATCTCTTTCGGGATGTCAGTATGGAAAGAAACACTCGCAGCAGTGTGCTGGTAGGGATGGGGCCTCCCTGAGACGCTGTGCGTACCTTCTGCGTAACGTGTCTTTTGTCACCCCAGGCCCTTGCTGAGAGGATCTGCTGCACAGGCCAAGTGACCGTATTTGTACGTACCCTGGCAGAACTTCAGGGGTAGCGGTTGCACGCCAGCACGAGTGGTACTAATAAAGCTTCCGGAGTAGTGGTGACTTGTAACGTAAGTTCAGTAAAAGCTGTTTGCACAGAGAAAGGGAAGTGATTTCTCCTGTTGTCACCTCATCCACCCTGTGATACTGGTAGGAATAATGCAGGAAAACAACTGAAGAGCCACGGAAAAGGTTGCATTCTTAATCAGTGTGTTTATAGGAGAAAAAGCTGTGTGCAGGCTGGGTCTGAGGACATCACATTGGCACTGTTGAGAAGAAAAAGGATTAGAGTTCACACGTGTTTTTAGTGTTTTGTGCTGCTGGAATTCCTTTTGTGTTCCTTATCTCCCTGGGAGTTGAGTGCTGGAGGCTGCAGCAGCCTACCGCAGCCCCGTGGGTCAGGACCCAGTGACATTGTACAGATTTCTGTCTGGTAGCGACTGAAGGACAAGCTTTAGACTCCAGTACACATGATTAAAAGGTGATCTTTGGAATTCAGTATGCTTCAACCAGTTCATGTTGAAAGCTGGTATTTCAGTGTGTCCATGGATGAAGGGAGATCCTGTGTGGTTGGCTACAGCTTTCACTTTGAGCGCTGGTCGTGGATAATTAAAGTTTATAGAGAAGGGAATTGCAGGAGAGTCTGCTTTTGATTTGCCATTACTGCTTTTATCTGAGAACTCAAATTACTCTATAAACATCAAACGAGTCTCTGAGCATGGAGGAGGTTAGAATTACAGTATCATTATAATGACTAAAATGAGGGCCAGAAAGTTAAGTGATTTGGTAAAATTATTGAGTGATAGCATTGTGATGCAGCTGTTACACCTGGGCATCATGAAAGCAATGTAATTTTACCTCATTATGGAAACGTTAGATCAAGGAACTCAGTGCACGGAGAACAGAACGTACCTCTTATTTCACAGCTTTCGAAGGAGGGAAAGTTTACCGTACACTTGTGCTTAAAGCACAGCTCTGGAAACAACCACAGAACTGCCAGGCATAATCTGCTTGGAAAGCAGTACTATAAAGGGTGAAATAAAGCAAGCTTCTGCCATCTAGCCCCAAGAAACATCTCTCTGAACATAAAGCACATGGATCTAAGTGATGAAAGATCTGACCTACTAGTAACTGCTGATGTTGCCAAGGCTTAGCGGTGTCTGCACCACGCTGAGTCAATGATCCTTCGCGTTGGAGGACCCCTGTTGAGTGACAGCAATATAACGCTATCAGTTTTTCACGTCTTTTAAATCTGGTGTGCTTTACTCAGAAGTTCAGTGAGCACTGTTTTCTCTTTGAAATTCTTCAGCTGCACGGATGATGCAGTGTTTGAAAAGTTCCCAGGAAGGCTGTGGGTTTTGCAATGTTATCACTCTACGCTTGATTTTAATTAAAAATGGCTATTCCACTGTGTTTTCCCAGTTTTTACTTTTCTGTTAAGATTCATTATACATCCAGTCCCTTAAAGATAGCTGTATAAATATATGGCTAATGCAGATGCTGTTTACAGTGGAAAATAATTTTAAATGGTTTTCTTAATTTCTTCAAAACTCGGTATTGCTATTATACCACCATGTGTTTTGCAAATAAATGGTATGGATTGATGAAGCATGTCAACAGCTATTTGACTGATGAGGCTAAGCTAAATAATTCAAAGGCAGATCTCTAGTGCTTCTCATTAGGCATTCTCAGAGTTATTTAAATATTCATTATCGCTAATCTCTAATAGAGAGCCTTGTCACATTACTTATTCCACCCATGTGCCGTTATATGCTCAGCTTTTACAGGTAATTATTTGCATTGTTGCGGATCTGGGTAAATGCAAGAGCTAAAACCTTTCGTGCTTCATGAGGAGAGTCAAAGAGCGCCACAAAACCCTTACTTTGTATTTCTTATTCAGCTTTAGGCCTTCTTTACACATAGTGATTTGCTAACTGTGTTCTGTATGTATTTCAGTCCTACAAGATCATCAATTTTGCTCCAAGTCTACTGCAAATCATAGTATCAGATCAAGTTGAATTTCCAGTGCGTCAAGCAGGTGAGACAAATTCCTTGTTTCATTTTCTCTCAGTAGAAAGTCAGTCTGTTAGTTACTTCAGCAGGGTATTGGGCTGTTGCAAAAGTTCACGTTTGTTCTGAATGTGGGAATGAAAAGGATCTATCCTTGCCGTTTCTTTCCTACATGAGGCTCAGATAAAACCACGGTATAGGGTAGAGTCCTTCCTCGGCTTCCCTGTGTTTGTAGTGATCCCTACTGGATTGCGGTGATAATGACGGGAATGATTTCTGCTCAGAACCGAGTACCCAGGGAGCCTTTCTCTGGGTGATGAAAAAGTAGGGATGGCAAGACAAGTGGGAATTTAAAAAAAAAAAACAAACAAACAAGTGTATCTTATTTGAATACACATTTCTCTCTTTGAATCCTTTTTCCTGGAAAAATTAAAGTTTCTGAAAACTGAAAAAAGCCCATAGTTCCCTCAGTCGAGGGTAGCCGCATGTGCGTAGTCAGTATTGATGGTGTCCACTCACAAAGGTGGGTACGAAGGAAGGCCACACCGCTGCTGTGTTAGAAATCTGTAGTCTGAGCATGTCTAGAAAGATTGCCCGACCGCGCGTGTGAGTTCAGGCGTGGCGATGCAGGTAACTTCACAGCATCCATTTGCGTAAGATGGGATTCTGAGTTCTCATATTCTGTTCTAACTAATCCTGTAGAGTAATTTTGACAGGTACGGAAAATATGCAGCTTTTTTAAAGAAATGGATGAATGCTGTTTTGTCCACAGCTCTATTTTTATCCTATGGAACAACATTTCCCATAGAAGCACTGTTGGGTTTTCTGTACAGATCCTGTTAATCCCCGGAGTGCGTTGGGGCATGCTGACATATGCTGTTTGTCATGCTGGCGTTTAGTTTTTCAGGCGTAATCCGACTTTGAATGGCAGTGTTAAACCATTCTGAAGTAAAGTTTGATGCTTAATCTAGACTCCATAAGGTCATTTTTATATTAAATTCATCTCTCATTTCAGTATCGTTCAGGAAAAAAAATGATGTAGAACATAATCTGTTAAATTTTTGTTTAATGTTTTTCTTTTTAACGGAGTAGGGGTGTAATCTAGAAAAGCACATTTAAATTACTTTTCTACGTCAACAGATTTCCCTGGGAATTTTTTAAAAGCCAAGAATTTGTATAACAACAGGATCTATGAGCAAAGTAAATTACAGTCTTGGGCTGGTCTTTCTGGACCTGTTTCTTGTCTAAATATCCTGGCACATCATAGACAAATAACTGCTTTTCCTCTTGCTCCTATAAAATATTTTACAAACTACATGTTTTCGTACTTTGTCATTTGTCATCACCAAGAAAAATGATTGTACCCAAGGGTATCTTATTTATACTTTAAAGCCCTAGCTAGTAATCAACCAAAATAGTACAGGGATAAGAGTTTATTAAGAACATTCCTTCAATGTCTTACACTATGTTTCCTACAGAATGCCTACAGGCATTTTAGTACTGAGGCATAAATGCTGCTTTATTTTCTGTTGAAGATTAACTTTATTTTTCATGTTTTTTCATGGGAGACAGGAGGGAACAATTCTAAGGGATTATGGGAAATCCTAATAGTGAGATAAAGCTTAGGGAACTCACAACAAACATTTTTGCCTGAATAGAAGGTAGGCCACATGCCAGTTTCATACTGGGCATTTCCCCAAGCAGAATGTCCCATCTGGGTGCACAATGATGTGTTTACACGAGCCTTCCAAAATCTCACTTACTGAGCTTGAGTATTTGTTTTAGGGGTGAGGAAAAATACAGATAAGTAGATTTTTGTTTGCTTGTTTAGAACGATGCAGTGGTTTTCAGCCGTCTTTTCAACACTTTGTTCTACTTTCAACTGTGCTACGTGTTGAGCAGGGAAGGATGTTGAAATGTCTTAGAATTAAATTCTCATTTCCCCGATGTTTATGCTTAGCTGCCATTTACCTGAAGAACATGGTGACGCAATACTGGCCGGACCGTGAGCCACCTCCTGGAGAAGCAGTATTTCCATTCAACATTCATGAAAATGACCGTCAGCAGATTCGTGATAACATTGTCGAGGGAATAATTCGTTCTCCTGACTTAGTGAGGTATCTTACGTTGTGTAGAAATATTTCTGTAGCTCACGTTTTCAGACCGAGCAGCCCGGATGTTGTTAATCTCGGTTTCTTGGGAGATGAAGCACGTACTTGTTGGGAAAATGTAATCATAATCAGTGCTAAAATATTTATGTTCACGTGTCTTTCAAAAATGTAGTAACCTGCCCTGTGATGTCATTTATCCCCTTATGGTGTTGTTTAAAGTGTCTGATAAAACTGGCTGTAGTGACAGCCTGTCTATTTGGCTGATTCAGGGCAGGTAGCATAGAGGGCTAGCTGCCCTACAGAATTAACCGTTCTGAGAAATACTGCCCAAGATCTGTTCTCTTTTTTTCTAGTAGCCCTTTTCTCAATTACTTTTGTAATTTTTATATGCAATCCCAGTATTTAAATGTGTATTAGCATTCTTGGTTTTAAGATGACAAAGGAATGAAGAAGTGCTGTTCTCTGCTGGAGGAACAGTTGAGATTCACCGACCTACTACAATCCATGGCTGTTCACCACCCTGACTGGAGTGAGGCTGATAGGATGGGATTAGGCTATAGCACATAGATGTTCATCTTTGAAAAACAGAAGAGGATCTTCCTCTTCTCTCCTCCTCCTCTCCCGCACAGAACACAATGCAAGTTTGAGGAGCTTTTTGCCAACTAGTTCAGGCATCATTTCATAACTTGCTATTAAAACTGTCCTGACGTGATCGTGACAATCTACATCCAAAAGAATTGTTGGAAACCTTGGGACAATCACTTGGAATACAGTAGAGGGTTTCTAAATAACTAAACTTGTAGATTTGTAAGAGGTTAACAAGGTAAAAGAAGCTTCACTGGAACTAGTTGGATGCTGTAATACTGGTATTTTTCACTGTTTGCTTGTGAGAATAAGGAGGGAGAAGGAACCAAATCAGCAACAAGCACAAACTCCAAAGGCTTGAAGGGGAAGGTAAGTTTATAGAAAGCTAAACGGGTCGGTAGGTGGAGGGCCCCTTATTGAACTGCTTTGTAGTAGTGGCTCCTTATGTAATGAATGCAAGAGAGTACCTGAGAAGAACTAGATACAGAAGGCCAGGTGTTTTCTGCAGAACTATAAAAAAATTATTCTGTAGCAGAGCCAAGAGTATTTATATACACCTTCTAGTTCAGTGTCTCTCAGCTTTTTTAACCACAACTCGCTTCAGTCAATTAACAATCCGGTCTTGCCTCACCATTGTGAGTGGCATCTACAAGTGGTGGAGGGAGAGGAATGGTAAGATGCTTTCGCCTGATGGGCTCTGCCACATGCTTCAGAAGTTGAGAAGTGCTGTACTAAAAGATCCCAGGAAAATTGTAATTTCATGAGGAACCTCTGGCTTGGATCATAACACAAGTCGATATTGTTTAACAAAAATGTACACGTTTGTGTATTTGTGATTGGTTTCAGCCTCATAAGCATGTAGAATAATAAACATTCATTTTCAAAGTACAAAGCTAGGTGGTTTCATGAGCAATTAATTGTTTTCAAATACTGCCTGATGGGTGTGGAGAGGGAGAAGAAGGGAGAAAAGTAGCTAAAGTGCTCTGAAATTAGTTTATTCCTTAAAGTTAAATTCCCTGGGATTTTTTTTAATTGATTTTCCCTTGCCCCTTCCCAAAACTCTTTCAGTGCTGTCAAAATATGTATGGTACTTATGATGTAATATGTACATCGTAGGCAATAAACCAAGATTTGGGTTCTATCTTTTAATATTAAACACTGTGCCATGATCTTATTTACCTGTAATGTTTCTTTTTCCTTCCTGCCTCAGAGCCCAGCTGACAATGTGCCTCCGTGCTATCATTAAACACGACTTTCCAGGCCACTGGATGGCGGTGGTAGACAAGATAGGCTACTACTTGCAGTCTCAGAACAGCGGGAGTTGGCTGGGGAGCCTCCTGTGCCTGTATCAGCTGGTGAAGACTTACGAGTGAGTTGGTGTCCACCAGTAAGATGAGCAATCCCTGCTTTTAGTCTCAGCTGGTTACTGAGGGTGACATTCTTAAGAGCACTGGCAGTTCTGCCAGGAATTCAGATAGAAAATGGGAATTCATAACTGTCATATGCTTCCTTTCCTGCAAATCCATGAAAACTGTTCATCATCCTTGTATCATCAGTGAATTGAAAGCAGGGATGCCAGCAATAACCAGTATGAATTTACTGACAATTTTCTTGAGGCTTTGTACTTTCAATATGATTTAACCCATCTGTGTAAAATTTCTGAAATGTTAATAACCTCTTTTGTTTGAAGATCCCCCAAATGCTGGATATATGAATGCAAATGATTTTCTACTTTTGTGTGATGAAGACAGTAGTGTCGTCCTCATATGCTCCTGTTGCAAATCCTTACTTGTACCATCCTCCTGATAGTCTAAATCCACAAAGTGTAAACTAAAAGTGTAGTGAGCTCTCTCACGCATTATTTTTTAAAAGCCTGTTGTTCCAAACATGTGTATGAGCTGCACAAAAGAAATGTAAATGGAGAAAGAGGGAATCTTGTCAAAACAAAGGAATTGTCTTTCCCTTTCAATGGCTGCTCACTCCTTTTTGTTCAGCACCCAACCGGGGTTTGGCATTGGTACGGGTGTCAGAGAAATTCAAATTCCTGCTCCTGTGAGCTGACAATTCAGTAATAAAGAACATTAGTTCTTCCTCCCAGTAGCTGCATTTATATAAGGGTGCATTTGTTCTCTTTCATTGCTCTGTTTATAGCTTAGAGAATTTGCACAAATTGTTGAGATGGGGGCTAGAGGAGAGGAAGGTGAACGAGTGAGTGCTGAATATTAATTTATGTGTTTTTTAGGGTAGAGAAATTAAAGTGCTGGTGGGAAATAGGCATTAAAATCTCCAGTGTGTAAATCCTGGACCAACATTTTTGTTTCCTTTGCAGATACAAAAAAGCAGAGGAGCGAGACCCTCTCATAGCAGCAATGCAAATATTTTTGCCTCGGATTCAGCAGCAGATGATCCAGCTTCTGCCTGACAACTCCCATTACTCTGTACTGCTTCAGAAACAAATTTTAAAAATCTTCTATGCTCTTGTGCAGGTTGGCATCTGTGTGCAGGAAACCCAAAACTTCTTTGCTGGGCACAGCCACCCCCTTCAGTGCACTACTGGGTGTGATTCGAATAAGGAAAAATCATGTACAATAAATAGCTTTTACAAAAATGTGATCTTTATAGATTTTTCTATTTAAAAACTGGTCAGTTGATCCCTCAAATTAAATTTTTAATGAACCTAGGTACTTTTGCACATGCTGTCTGTAAGCTTACTGGGGAAAATGTTCCTATTTTTATAGAGTTGCGCATAACCCGATACAGACCATGTGAGTATCTAGACGGTGCTGAAAGGGGCAGTAGTGCAGATTGTGGTGTAATTGTCAAATAGTGCACTTGAGTAGGTGACCTTTCTCATTATCTTCTGAAGATCTGGCAATTGCTTATCTGGCAATTGCTTATTGAGGCACATGCTTTTAACAGGGATGAGTTTGGTGAGGAAGTACTTGTAGTCAATGAGAAACAAAACAAGATCCTGCATAAGGACCAGCAACCTGGTCTAGTGGGAGGTGTCCCTGCCCATGACAAGGGGGTTGGAACTAGATGATCTTTAAGGTCCCTTCCAACCCAAACCGTTCTGTGATTCTATGATAAGGGGCAGTCTGAAAATTCTTATTGGAGGTTAAAAAGCTAAAATAGTTTGTTATTAGATGAGGGGAGGAGTAAAAAGATCCTGAGATACTATTTTACTTTCCAAGAGCTTGCCTGAATATTGTCACTTTGCTTTGGATTTTGTAGAGAAGTAAGATTTACTTGATTGTAACTAGGTAGTAGTTAGGAGTACATTTCACTTACTAAAATGCTGTTTGTTTCCCGCAGCTTCCTAAAAGTTAGCTGCGATGTTGTGAAGGAGTGGGAATATCAAAAAGAGTTAGCAAATTTTCTGACCCAGGAACTTTCCTCAAAAGTTGTCTGCTCAGAAGTTCCTCTAAAAATTGTACCAAGAAGGATGCAATTAGAACAGTACTGATATTTAACCTAGTTGGTTTTAATTGTACTTAAAACATCTTCTTCCTGGGAATGTAACTCCTGTAGAGACATCTGTCATTTTCAGAGAGACTTACTCTCTCATGACAGTATTTTTTTTCTTATTTCAGTACGCCTTGCCGCTCCAGTTGGTGAACAACCAGACTATGACTCAGTGGATGGAGATCTTCCGCACTATAATTGACAGAAACGTACCTCCGGTAAGCTTTAGTGTTGTGAAGACCGCTGATACTTGCGTGTTGGCATTTGGGGAACAGACAGTGTGAAGGCTATTTAAGCATACCTTTAGTTAAGATGACATCTATTTAAGATCCTTGTCTTTGGAATTAGTGGTTTTTCTGACAGAAATGCAGGAAGATCTTGTAAGCTGTCAGGGTTTCATTGTCTGAGGTAGCGATACTGTGTGTACTCCAGCCTGGGATATTTTGGAAGTTTCTAAATATTTTAGCCTGTTTCTGTCCCATAAGAATCGAAAGCTCATCCCAAACCCATCAACTTGTCTCCATTCCTCTTTTTCTTTCATCCATCCTTGATATTTCCAGAAGAACAAAATAAAAAGAGTAATTGAATTCTTGTTTGTGTGTCTACAACATTAACTGACATTTCCTAAGGTTTTTTAGAAATTTATTTCACAGCTGTAGCATTGTTTTACTGGCTTCTGCATTAGCATATGGTTAAGGTGTGTTTATTTGGAGGAGGTAGTATCGTGGTTCATTTTTAAGCCTGAGTGAATGCCACTGTGTAGTATTCAAGTATATGTGAGAATGTCAGGGTTTTTAAATACACATAATTTTGCAAATTAAAGTGTAGGCATTGTGCAGGTGTTGCACGTACACTGTTATATTAACTAAGGTATTTGAAAGTTCCTGGATTTTATGTAACCGTTAACAGAACCAAAGCTTTAGTTGATGCTGTGCATTTGCATTAGCTTAGCAAGGAGTGTTTAAAGCATCATTTCTCTCGACAATACACACAGCTAATTTAAAATAAATTAATTTATTTATAGGAGACTTTGCAAATTGATGAAGATGATAGACCGGAGCTGGTGTGGTGGAAATGCAAGAAATGGGCATTGCATATTGTAGCTCGTCTTTTTGAACGGTAACAAACTGACTGAAAACTAGGTTGGGGTTACAGATCTGTAGTGTTACTTGAGGTGCAGTTAGACAGGACAGTTTAGTTGATTCAACAGCTTGTGGTCACAGAAGAGAGCTTCCTGCTGCTGTCCTCTGCCTTGCATTGGCGCAGCCACTGGTCTGAGCTCTTAGTGAAATGATTTGACTCTCTAAGGTGGTAAGAAACTAACCCCACAGGAAAAGTAGGGGTTTTCTTTCTTTGTTTGGTTGGGGTTTTTACTACATCCAGCTACAAGTCCTTATATTCTCAAATATAAAGGCAGGGGAAGATTTGAAAAGAAATCAAAAACATGGAGGTTACAGAACTTGTGACAAAAAGGTTTATTTGACAAAAATATTTGCTTGACTATAGTATTGTGCCTTATGAGAATCTAAGAAAAGAAAAGGGGAGTGGGGCGTTATATGGGAAATAAGGTCTTAGAAAGAACCTGTGGGAAAGGATTCCTTTGGGGATGGATGATGACTCAGAATCCTTGGTGTTTTAGAAAGTACTGTGTTTTCCTGACACGGTAGACTTCTCACAGTGTAAATATGTGTGTCCTCTCCTTTTTGAAGGTATGGAAGTCCTGGAAATGTAACTAAAGAATACTTTGAATTCTCAGAGTTTTTTTTAAAAACCTATGCTGTGGGCATACAACAGGTAAGTACAGTTCATTTGTTTCTGAATTAGACCAGTTTGGCTGAAGAAACATGGCTTTTCGACAGTGTGCTTGCATCGAAGTTCACTCGTTAAACAAAAATGGACAGCCAGGCAGGTTTTCCTTTTAGCGATTGAGAAGGTCTTTAGAACCCAGTGCCATCCACAACTGAGGTATAATAACACAAACGATAAGCAGGTCTTAAAAACTCTGCTAGAAAATTCCCAGAAAAGGCCAGTGCTGATAAAATGGTGTTATCATCGTGTGTAACACGATATAGCTGAGAGAAAAAACTAGTACGGCCAAGGCCTCACGTCGTAGAACGATGTACGTTCAGGCCAGTCTTCAGTAGGTGCTTTTGCTGCAAACAGCGTAGGCACAGTAATCCAATGATACTGTTTTATTTCAGGAAGATACAAGCAGTTTCGATGGTGCCTGGAGAACAGCAACAAAAGCTATTTTATACCTGGAAATTGTATTTTGTGAAAATGTAGCATAAATTCACAGTTGGCAAGGAAATTATTTTTGTGGGGAATGCTAATTATTTGTGATTAACACGGTGTTGTGAATGTACTTCAGTTCTGATGAAGCTGCAAGGGGGAGATGCAGTTCCTGTCAGAGTTTTCTGTGTTTTTCTGCCAGCTCAGCTGTGGGCCCCTAGGAACGTGGCCTTCCAGCATCTCCCTGGTTTGGTGGAATGGCTATAGTAGCTGAGTGCCTGGAAGCCCTGAGAGTGCTGGCTCCCAAGTTTGGATGTTTTTTGGCACATCTCCTCCTATTTCTCAGTCAGGCTGCCATATACTACATGACTGAGAGTGGTAGTTCCCTGGCTTTTGGCTCAGATAAAGCTCTTGGGTCTCCAGGGTTACATATCCCAAGAATCAAAGAATGGTTAGGGTTGG